AGGGCGGCTAACAACCAGATAAAATACTAATCACAAAAAACTACAAATTAAAAACATAATTAAAAACAAATATTAATAATTGGTCTAGTAGTTAAAAATTACTTTAAAACCCCCATTAAAAATTTTCCCCTAGGCCAGTCCTGCAAGTTGGAATAACCATGTCTTAAGGGCGCGGCGGANTCGCCAGCCGGCACTGTCTGGCCGACGGCACCCTGAGGAGACCCACCCTGTGGGAGCGTACAGGCCGATGGGAGGTAATCTGCGGCAGAAGGCGGTCTCGAAGATATCCCGGTCCGATGCCATGGAGCGCCTTAAAGATGATGATCAGCACCTTGAAGCGCACCCGGAAGGCCACCGGCAGCCAATGCAGCTCGCGCAGTAGCGGTGTTACATGGGAGCGACGAGTCCCTCCCAACACCGCCCGCGCGGCCGCATTTTGGACTAGCTGGAGCCTCTGGGTGCTCCTCAAGGGAAGCCCCATGTAGAGAGCGTTGCAGTAGTCCAGGCGGGAGGTGACCAGGGCATGAGTGACTGTGCGCAAGGCGTCCCGGTCCAGAAAAGATTATATACTGTAACCATAGTTATTAAACCTATAACCATAGTTATTAAACCTATATCAGAACATATTATGAGAAATGCTAGATTAAGATTTAAATTGCTGAGAGAAATATTAACAACCACAGATACACTGCAGACATCACCTTGGTAGCTGGAAGTGAGGAAGATTTAAGAAATCTCTTGCTGAAGGTTAAAGTTGAAAGTGCAAACGCCATTTTGATGCTCAGTATTTTTTTAAAAAAATATTAACTGCTCATATCAATTTTGTGCATACTGTTGTAAATTAGTGTAAGAACTGACTTTATCTTTCTCAGCTCAAAACCCCAGAAAGATATCTGGATCTTTGGAGAAAGATTTTAATAGATAACAGAATTTTAAAGCATAGTCAGATCGTACTGCCAATAAAAGTGTATAAAGTCAAGGGTTGGGGTTAATAATGGTTGGATACTAGATGAGAATCACTGATACCAGAGGAGATCCAGTGTAGTGGTTAAGGTGCTGGACTGACACTGGGAGACTGGTTCTAGTCCTCTTACAGCTACAGAAGCTCACTAGTTGACTTTGGGCCACTTTCACTCAGCTCTACCTATCTGGTTGTAGGAGGAAATAAGGAGAGGAGACTTGAGTTTTTGCACATCCAGAACTAAACTAACAACATGTTTAACCACTGCATAACCTCTTATAAAAAAAACAAGATCTATAGCATGGTACAGACTATATCTGTGAACGCACAGTGAAGTAACACCAAGTGCAGAGATATAGAAGAGTTCACAGGAAGGACATTTCATTAATAAGCTAGCTTCTCACATATTTTGTTTTGCCTATTGTTGGAAAAGCTTTACAAACCAGCTCCTTGGCACAGACATGTCATGGCAGAACACAGCATACGTATCTGTTGTCTGTCGCAAGGAACATTGCGTGTTTATTCCTGTAAGTATTTATGTTTAATAAAGTTTGTGAGGATCATAGTGGCTTTTACCTCCTCTTGGAAATCTTTCATGGATGTTGACTCCTGAGGGCATTTGGCATTAAACAGCTCCTGAACAAAAGATGAATACATCCAACACACATACAAATAAATAAAATAAAAATTTTAGAGGACTTCCGGTCCTGCGCAGCAGCGCAGCAGTCGAGGGGTTCGGAACTCTGTGCCCTTCAGCTGAGTTTCTTCCTGTTAGGGGACCCTAAATGGGCCAGAAGCTGCCCCGAAGAGGCGGCAAAGAAGAAAGTAAATCCCGGGGACCTCAGAGAGACAGCGGTCAACCCAATCGGCCCAGGAGAAGCCTTCCGGAAACCAACAGGAGAAAGGCTAGCCTAACTTCAGAGTCTAGCCCAGTGTTTCTCAACCTTGACAATTTTAAGGCATGTGGACTTCAACTCCCAGAATTCCACAGCCAGCAATGCTGGCTGTGGAATTCTGGGAGTTGAAATCCACATGCCTTAAAATTGTCAAGGTTGAGAAACACTGGTCTAGCCCAAGCTGCAAACAACCGAAGTCAAAAGCACTATTTTAAGCTGATTGTAAACAGTGTGTTTGAATCTGGGCAAGAACATCGATTTTCTCTATCCTACTTATCAACTTTCCTGAAGGAAAAAAAAATCCCAAGAAGCAAAAAACCTCTGAAAGTGAAGGAGGGGGATTTTTGCCCCATCCTTTTACTAATGGAAGTGGCGAATTAAACCTTTTATGGAGGACCAAAATGTATTGAAATGAAATTAAAGGACTATAAAACCTAAATTTGGATAAGTTTGAAGTTACTGAATGGTTAAGATTCTCATTTTAAAGGCAATTTGTTCATTTTGAAAATTTGAAAAATAAACCAGTGCTGACATTTAGAGGTGGATGAAGACTGTGACAGCTATGGCTTTCATGCAGGACTTGGCAAAATCTGGAAAAATCTAATCTCTACTTGTGACGTTCAAAGCTCTAACAATAGAGAACAGCTGTGACAAAAAAGAAAACAATATGGGCTGCAGATAAAATGAGACTTACAAACTTCAGGGAACAAAAAAAAACCCAAAACTTTTTTTTAACTTTTTGGATTACAAGTATCTATTTAACTCTGACCCCAAAGCTATTTGCAGAGAAAAGAAAATTTGGATTCTTGGTCATTATGGAAAATCAGAGATTTATAGAAAGAAAAAATCTCTTATCAAGGAATAAATAAGACTAAAAAAAGAAAAAATAAAAAGAATAAAAAAAATAAAAAGATAGTATGCTACTTAAAATCCCTATTTCCTATAAGCTAATACATATTTATGTCCCATTTTGATAGGTTGGCTTACAAGAGAAAAAATAGACTTATATATTTAAATGTAATTAACTTTTGAGAAAATCTTAACCAGTAAGAATGCTTTGAACATTGTGGGAAAAACAAATGTAAACAGGAACTGTAAACAGGACCTATGATGAGACAACCAGAATGACTAGATAGAAAAGGAATATTATACTGATGTGATTATTATCTGTATAAATATTAGAAAACTTTTATACTGAATCATCATTCATTAAAACAACAAGAATTGTATTAACTTAAGGTTGGTAAAAGAGAACATTATGGGAAAAAGAGGAAATCAAGTAAATTATTATGTGGATTATAGATTATAGAAATCAACTGTTAGTGAATGTTTCTTAAATGTAAACCCAGAGAACACAGTTTACCGAATATTAAGGTGATTATGTTAAAAAATTAATAAAACATATTTAATTTTTTTTAAAAAAAATCCAGTACTAATGATGAAAGTCAATTTCACAACATGATTAGATACAGTACAGGTAGTCCTCGACTTACAATAGGTTGTTTAGTGACGGTTTGAAGTTACAACAGCACTAAAAAAAGTGATTTATGACCTTTTTTACATTTAAGACTGTTGCAGCATCCCCATGGTCATGTGATCAAAATTCAGACGCTTGGCAACTGATTCATATTTATGACAGTTGCATTGTTCCGGCATCATGTGATCAACTTTTGTACCCTTCTGAAAAGCAAAGTCAAAGGGGAAACCAGATTCACTTAACAACCTTGTCACTAACTTAACTTCAGTGATTTATTTAACAACTGTGATGAGAAAGGTCATAAAACGGGGCGAAAGTCACCTAGCAACTCTCTCGCTTAGCAACAGACATTTTGGGCTCAACTGTGGTCATAAGTTGAGGACTATCCATACTATCACTGATATTATAAGCAGTTTACAAAACTCAAAGTTGCCAACTGATAAATTTGGCAAACCAATTGCCCAAAGGGTCACAAAGAACTGGAAGGGCCATTCTGGACAAATCTGAATTAAGAAAAGGTTGCATAGAAGTACACTTGTAATTAGTTGTAAATGTAATACACTTCCTTAGAATTAAAGGGCAAGTATGAAGAATCATGCACACCGCTTGTGTAATGGAGAAGGATGGAATACAGATTACTTTAAAAAAGAAAATCAAGAACACCTGAAATATTATCAGACTCTTGTCTCACAACTCACAGAAGATACTAGAAGATTCGCAACCATTATTACAATAATTTCTAAGAGCTCTTTAAGGCAGGTTTCACAGCCAGATCTGTGGACACTACAACTCCCAGAATTCTCAGAGGTTACACTGTCCCATTGGAGACTGTGGGAGTTGTAGTCACAGCACAACACAAGCAATGGACAACTTACGTCTTCAAGAAGCACCGTTGTGCTAGCAGCTGAGAGGCAAATTAATTTGTGAGGAAAGCAATATTTTCTTCAACTCAAAGCCATCTGCAACGCGCGAAAGACAATACAAATGCAGGCAAATAAATAGAAATACAATGTAAGAGAAGAACTAACGCACATCAACAGCCACAAAGAAGGTGGGGAGGGAAGGAGGAAGAAAAAGGAACGCGCGAACAGGAGAAGCAGCTCCTGCTATTTCTCCACAAATGGGGAAGGTTTGAGCAGAGCCGCCATCTCTTCAGCCCTTAATTCTCCCGCGGGCTTCCGATTTGAAGCGGCGCCGGTTGCAGCCCGGCGTGCCCGGCTTCCTCGCTTCTTTCCCGGGAAAACCAGCGCCGATCGTCTTCCCGGTGCCAGCGCTACGTTATTGCAGGAACGGCCACCGCCTCCTCCTCCTCCTCTTCCTCCTCCTGCTGCTGCTGCTAAGTGCAGCGGCGTCTCTGGCTGGCCACTACTGAGCTGCATTGCTGTAGGAGCGCGCAACGCTCAGGCGCTAGCCAGAGCTGCAGTGCCGACCCGGGAGAGGCAAAGCGAGGTCGGGCGAGGAGCCGCCGGCGGAGAGCGAGGCCCCAGTCTGACCCGCCTCGCGGCCATGTGCATTCCGTGCCAGCCCGCTCCTAATAAAGCGATGGGGTCGGGACGCTGCCTCCCGCTTCTTCACGCCCTATAAATATTCAGCCGGCCCCGAAGATCAGCTCGGGTGGCTTGTGGGCTGCCTGACCCTGGCTCAGAAGAGCAGCCGCCGCTGCCGCCGCCGCCACCGCGGGAAAACCCTGAGGCAGCCCGAGCGCCCGTCCTCCTAGGCGAGCCGGCGAGATGCCCCGAGTAGATGCAGATCTCAAACTGGACTTTAAAGATGTCTTGCTCAGACCTAAGCGGAGCAGCCTCCGAAGCAGAGCAGAGGTGGGGGCATTTCCAAAGGAGCATGCTTTCCCCCCCCCCCTTTTTTTCTCCCCCACCCCTCTTTCAAATGCGGCGTCCGACTTCGTTATATGCAACCCCTCTTCTCTTCCTATTTGCATTTCAGGCGAAGGGGTTAATGCCCTCGCCGCCTCTGCCTCTTTTTTATCCTTAATGCGAAGTCGAAGGATTTCAGAACTTTCCGTGCGTAACCCGGCCGGTGAGGTCGGCCCTCTGTAGCAGCTACCGGTACTGCTTTGCTTTGCTTTTTGCTTTTTTTGTTCCCACCTTTTGCAGATTGCGATCCAGAGGAGAGAATCCTTAGGAAAGTGCTCACCGGGGCATTTGGTGGAATTGCTTCCAAATTTGCAAGAAGCCAGCAGGGATGTTGGGGGGGCGGGGTGTGTGTGTGTGTGTGTGTGTGTGTGTGAGACCGACAGAAGGAGACCTAGAGTCGGGTTGCATTCTGCTCGGAACTGTTTGTAGAGGAGCCGATAAACAAGTGGCATGACAGATCATTTTGCGGGAGGAAAGGAAGGGAGAGGAGGGGAGGCTGATTCAAGTTACAAACCCTCCGTGAGAGGCCTGGCTTTTCTTGAGTGGAAGTAATGCTGGAGAGGCGATTTCCTGGGGCCGGCAGGTCAGATGTCTTGAATAGCGAAGTACACACACAAAGGCGCAGGCAGGGAGGGGAGCTGGGAAATGGAATTGCAATCTTTGTGTGTTTTGCAGACAACACGTTGGCCTTTACTCTTCCGACATTTATCATGAATTTAGTTCTATCTAACGTTTAGTCTCCAAAAGGATGTTGAAAAATTCCTGTTTACACAAACAACTTTCTCTCCAAGGGTAAAGATCAAAAAAGTCAAAAATGTCACCGTGCCTTTTGTCCCTGTAGTTGGAACTGGCCATTCCCAGATGAAGGGTTGCACAGCAGGTTTAAAGAACAAGTCTGTGGGATTGTGGGACACAGTATAGATCACGGTTGTCCAATCTTTTGGCTTACTTGGGCCTCGTTGAGTGAAGAGGATTTGTCTTGGGTCGCATATAAAATATATAGTTAATGTATATAAATCACGTAATGTTAAAAGTTTACATTCTTGTGGGGCCACATTACTAGCTGTTCAGGGCTGCATGCAACCCATAGGCCATGGGATGGACATGGCTGGCTTAGATAAGGCTGGTTCAGATAAGGTGATGCTGGCTGGGGAATTCTGGGAGTTGAAGTTCACAAGTCTGAAAGTTGACAAATTTGGAGACCAGATGATCCTTGATCAGACTCCCACTGAAAGTCTGGATTTTCTTGCAGCACCTCTGTTTTGTGGAACTGAAAAAAGGAAGGGGATGGTTGTGAATGAAAATGCAGGATGGGCCTCTCTCTCTCTATTATGCAGATTTCTGCAATATCTTTAGTTGAAATCAAATGGTTTGTATAATTACAATTATTGCTACGTAGCCATTGTTAAAATACAGTATATCTCTGAAACAAATTAACACAAGGGGAATTTTGGGAATACGATTTCCAGCATGCTTTGATCCAAAATGACTTATTATAGTTTCCTGTCATCTGGAAAGGACTTTGAAAGATCTTCCAGAATTGGGGCCTTTTTAATTGAAGGAGATTAGAGCTAAAAATAATTACAATCCACCAGGCCATATATTTGTATTAATTTTAAGTCTGATCATCACATAATCTTGAGCATCATTCACAAGTGCAGGTTGCAGATTAACAAATTAACAGTGGCTTCCGATGAAATACCGTAATATTAAATACTTCTTTAGGTGTAGTATGACCAATGTAGAATTCACATATGGATTCCATCTGTGTGTGTGAATTTGAAAGTAGGCCTGGTTGGATTCTGTATGATTCACTTAAACATTGGAATAGAATAACCATCAGCCTTGAACCTCAGCTGCTTTTCTCCTATTTCTGGAAACATGTTAGATGTTGACTCTTGATTCTTTCTGAACATTATGAAATACGTACGAGATTCAATCTTGTTCTTAGGATGTATTAGGATGGACGCTTAGCAATTGGTTTATATTTATGACGATTGCAGTGTCCTGGGGTCATGTGATCCCCTTTTGTGATCTTCTGACAGCAAAGTCAGAAAATGGAAATTGTAAGCTAAAGAAATTAAAGGCCTAATATAAAAGGAAATATAATTAACTGAAGTGTTTACAGAAACGCTTTTCACTCTACTTCTTTTTATACTTGCAAACCAGTCTTCCAACTTGTCCATTCATTCACCAAATCAAACACTGCTTTGTTCTTTCAAGAATTGAGTAGCTGATGAAAAAGTAAACATAGCCTAATAAAAATATTTTCAACCAGTTCACTTTTGTCATCCAGGGATTGGATGGATTGGAAAGCATGTCTGAATTATAAATCTACCTTTTTTGTGAGCATGTGATTCCATTATTTACATTTGCTGACAAGTTTAATTACCTGATTTGAATTTCAGGCTATTCTCATGGTCCAGATGGATTTATTGCTTAAATGGGATGCTTTAACAATGTTAGAAACAAATTGGCTGGCTATCTCCTTCCTTGCCATTTTAGGACGCTGAAGCACTTATGAGATTGTGGATACTGTATTTATGTAGAGAAATATTTAATATCTGTTATTTTAGTGTTTTCATTTTTCTAACTTTATGACTTAATTCTATATTGAATGCATTTTTGTCACTGGATAAGAATAAAAATGCTTTCAGATCCAAAATAAAAAGGTGTTGTTTTTACAGGTAGATCTTACTCGTACTTTCTTCTTTCGTAACTCCAAGCAAACCTATACAGGCATCCCCATTATTGTAGCAAATATGGACACTGTTGGTACTTTTGAAATGGCACAAGTTATGGCTAAAGTAAGTGTTTCTTAATTCTCTTCTCCTAAAAAAAGGAATGAAAGTAACATTTGAATTAATTTCAAGTCATTGTAATGATTTAAGTCATTGACTTGGGATGATCTGCTATCTATAGTAAATGTCATATTACCTAAAAGTCAATTTTATAACACTCATATGAAGCATTAGCCAATTAGGGATAGCCAGTTTTGAACACAGCTAATTTTTGTAAGAAAGTTGTAAGTTAAATAACTGTACCATACATAATTAAAATTACATGCAGGCATACATGCATGCTTATCATACTATTCACTTTCAAAATACTATTATGTAGAAAAGGAGAAAAGATTACTAAGCAAAAGAAATTAAAGTCCTGAAATTAAAAAAACCCCATTCACTATAACCTCTCTTAATCTTTCTTTAAATGATCTTTGCTTCATCCATCACTTCATCCATTGTTTTTTGATTTTTATCTCTATTTTTGAGGATGTCATCAACTTTATCCAACCACAATTTTCTCAATATTCCTTTTCTTTTGACTCATTCATTTTAATTTGTTTTGTTATTTAATCTTCATTATTTCTCTCTGTGTTTAAAATCACCTTAGTGTACTTCTTGCTACTGGTTACTCACTTTTATATTCAGTCCAATTAATTCTTGACTTTTATTTTTGTTTAACTTGTTAAGCAAACTATTCCTGTTGCAATCAAGTTTTTAAATGTTTCTCTTAAGAGTTCCAATTCCCACTTTCTTGTTCTCTTGGCTCCATTCCTTGCAACTTTATTTATTTGTGAAAATTTATATGACCGCCCAACTCACTCTCAGTGACTCTGGATGCTTACAAGGACAAAAACCCAATATAAAAAAATAAAAAAGCAATAATCCCCTCACTCCCTTAATATATGCCCATTAAACAGTATTTTCTTCTCATATTTTGTAATAATAATTCTCTTATATGCCTTTTTCTCATGCACAACCTCTTCTGCTTTATCATCTCACCCAACAACTTTTCTTTCATACTTCCTATACCTCATGCTTGTGTCATAGCCTGTAACAGTTCTTAGATAAGAAGAGCACTTTTTGTCAGAGTCATCTTCTTCTCTAATGGTTTACTATATAATTACTAAACTGCTATGAAGGGTTACAGGCTTAGCATTCAGTCCTGTAATGTTTGAATTCAAGTAAAATTTACAAATAATGCTAAAGTTCTCCTGTCGTGGAAATCTCTGGCAGTTGTATTACATATAGACCAGATTTACATTTAAAGACAGTTTCTTGAATCTGGAGAACTACTGACCTTGGAAGGTGCATTCAGGCAAAGTTTTAGCTCCTTGCTGTTGTGTCTTTCATATGTAATCTAGGATCTCTGCATGGTTTTCTGTTTCAGTATCTAGTTCACACCTTCCTATTGTTTAAACAAGAACCTTTTATGTATTTGCAATGACGTCATGGAACTTTGTTTTGTATGTATGTAACTTCGATGTGTCTACATCAAACAGTATAATTATAGCATATTTATTTGTTTTTCTAGTACACCATGTTTACTGCAATACACAAACATTACTCTCTAGAACAGTGGAAGCTGTTTGCAAGTGATCACCCAGAATGCATAGAGGTACTTTTTCACAAAGTTAATAATTAAATATTAGATTGCATTTTCTGAAATATTAGAAAAACTGATACACCCTGTCCTGTTAGCAAGAGAGTGGTTTATAAAATCATGTTTCCAAAAGATATTAGATTTAAAGGATGCGTGGTATTTTGTTAGAGGGACCCGGTGTTATGAGTACAGTGGCACTTGCAGAAATTGGAGTGAGTGTGTGGAGGCTGCCCAATAACAAAACAACTGCTGTGATCCTTACGAATCACAAGACTAGAACACAAACAGATGAGGCTATCCTCACCGTCATATTTAGCACAACTGGATACTCTTTACCATAACAGCTCATGTGCTTCCAAACAAATGGGTGAACTAGAGCTGTTGGCCATTTTTATTTTCTAAAAATATATTTAGAATTGAAATGAAGCCTTGAGGCATTCTTAAAAAGCTAGATGATAGAAGATAGCTCTTTGTGCATCAGATGACAACTTCTTGCTGATAATTACTTTTAATTAAAATAATATGTAAAGATAAACTAAATGGGACTGACAAAAAGCTTGAAGGGCTTGTGTTTATAGGTACTTTGGTGTTCAGGCATCATGTTGGTTTTATTACATTTTTATTTTACACCATTCTGGCTAATGCATCCTGGAAGATCAAGGAAATAATATATAATATAGTAAAAAGTAATATTATAAAACACTGGAAAGATGTCTGCATGTTTAAGTGAACATTTATACATTTATCATTATGTTCTAGAATTCTTTTCATGTTTCTTTACAAGTAAATTCATTCTGAAAAAGACTATTTAGAGTCTAGCCTGAACAGCATGGAACAGCAAAACATTAATGGAATGTAAAAACTGAGTTTAAATTATTAAAGATATCAATAGATGATTTGTTGGCAAAGTTAGATAACAAGTGTATACATTAAAGTACAGGTAGTCTGACAAAAATGAATAAGAAAATGGTTTATTGAACAGTGGTAGTCTGTGAAAACAGCTGCAAACACAGTATTTTATTCAGGCAAAAAACATTGAGATCAAGTAGAAAGTAAAACATTGTACAATGTATAAAACAGTGTTGGAAATGCCCAAATAATTGTTTTAGTTTTGTAAATTTAATTGAAAGAAATGATAATTTGTATAATAATAATATATTCTAAGTGACAAGGAAGCAAATACTTCAAAAGAATAGTAGAAGATTGCACTGGTAGACTTGCTAACCAGTGTTCCTAAAAATAAATTACTGATAAATTAGCAAAAGGCTTTCATTAATTTTGGAGATTTCCAGGTCAAACCTCAAACCACCCCCTTTTGTCCCACTGCATTCAATCAGAAAACTTCTTATTTTAATATTTATTTTATTTTGGGGAATGGGGTATGCATATGCATGTGTGAAATCAGAGAATTTGAGATAGGGTGGTATGAATGTCTCCGGAGGGTTGAAAGAAGAAGGATAAAAATCTTAAATGGCTTATTTGGGAGAATGTAGGCTTTAGAAGTTATATAGGGGCTTTATAGATTGGTTGCCCTTTGAATTTTGCCTAGAAACAATCCAGGAGCTATTTTGTTATAGGAGTCATATGCTGCATATATTCAGCCTGTTGATTGTATGAACAAATCATTTTAGACCAGTTGACCTTTCTACATATTTGGTGCACTAGTCTCGTTATAGTACTTAGATAAGCGTAGTAACTAAGAGATATGTCACCATGGAGCAGATCTGGCTCAGAAAATGGATATAACCAGAGAACAGATTGGTTATATCTGAGCACTTTGACCTTGATTACTTTATAAAATCATATATATTCCTTTAGGTTTAAACCTAAGTCCAGAGAATATAAAAGTACCTTGGACAAGCTAAGTTCCTGTTCCTAGATTGGGTTTTGGCTAACTAGGGAGGCCTCAGTTTAAGAGAAAAAAATGTCTGGATCCTAGCCAAGGACATCCATTTTTCCCTTATTGCAAAACATTCTCTTTCCAGATGCTGTAGCTGCTCTTCATAGCATGTTCACCAATCTGTCCAGGATGAAGAGATAGGCTCTGTTTTACATGTAGGTCAGGAGGTCCCAGGCTTAATTTCTGTCTCCTCCAGATAGAGTTAAGAAGACCCCAGTTTCAAACTCTGCAGAGCTGCTACTAGTCAATGTAGACGGCTCTCAACTAAATAAAGCACCAAATGGTCTGATACAGGCCAAGCCTTTTTCTTATGTTCCTATTTAAAACTTGGAACTTTCCCTTTAACAAATTGTATGGACTCAATAAACGTAGGAGAAAGGTAGGATAGTAAAAATACCAAGGTTGTTCTTGAATCCTCTATTATGTTTCAATCACAAAAGAGATGCAGCATACATGGCAATAAATAAAAGTGAACAATTGTAGTAGGGTGCATGATTCACAAGCATTAAAACTTCATCCTATATTGCAGCTTTGCTGTGTTCCTAGAAAAAAAATACCCTGAAAATACACACAAATGTCTTAGACCAGTGGTTCTCAACCTGTGGGTCGCGACCCCTTTGGAGGTCGAACGACTCTTTCACAGGGGTCGCCTAAGACCATCGGAAAACACATATTTCCGATGGTCTTAGGAACCGAGACACCGCTCCTCTATCTGTCTCCGCACGGCTTCGAGCTGGGGGGCGTTGCAGCGCCGGATTCGTTTCCGTCGAGCATCTCCTAAGGGAGGCTGCGCTGCTTCGTGGCCCTTTCCATGGAGGAGGCTGAACTAAGCTCTGCCGGAGCTGTCACCCTCTTGGCTCTCTCTCTCTCTCCCTCCCTCTCCCCGCCTGGGTGCTTCTCCAACCAGGCTGGGTGGAGCCGGCAGAGCGGCCTTCCTGCCCCCCCTCCCTGGCCAGCTGGAGCCGGGCAGGCCGGCGGCCTTCAGAAGTGAGGCGAGGACAGGCGAGGCGCACTGAGCCCCGGGCGCGGCGGGTGAGTGGGTGGCATCGGTGCACGTTTGGAGAGCCCTTAGGGTTGGGGGTCACCACAACATGAGGAACTGTATTAAAGGGTCGCGTCATTAGGAAGGTTGAGAACCACTGTCTTAGACATTTTCCCACTTGGCTTCTTCTGCAAAGCCATGCACTGTGAATGCTTTTGACCTCATTTCTGTAAAAAAAAAACAACTTAATTTTCTCATCTTCTTTTTGCAGCATATAGCAGTGAGCTCAGGCAGTGGGCTGGCTGATTTCGAGAAGCTGATAAGTATCATCGAGGCCATCCCCCTTATCAAGTACATCTGCCTGGATGTGGCCAATGGTTACTCAGAACACTTTGTGGAATTTGTGAAAGCTGTTCATGTCCGGTTCCCAAAGCACACTATCATGGTAGGGGTTGGAGAAGTTGAGAGATGGATAGGCTTGTAATTTGGCAAAAGAGTTTCTTGATTCCAGCAAATGTCCTGTGTCTTAACAAGAAGGGACCACAAATAATAAATCACGAATTTAGTATGTGGGGGAAAAAAATCGCGGTTTAATCTGTATAGACTCCTGTATGAAAACTTGCAGCCAGTCAATATAGGCAACATTGAACAGAACTGATAAATGGTTTGATTGATTTTGAATTCCTCTGCCATGGGATGGAGTGCTCTTTACTGCTATCTTGGCAGCATATTATTGTAAGATGATTCAGGCCGCTCCATTCCACTCCAGTATACTTTAGAAAATGTTACGCAAGAGAGAGAGAAAAAGAGAGACTCCCAACACTTTCACAAGATATTGATAAAATTCTGCAAGATTTGCAGGATTTCAAGAAACCAACATTTTTTTCATTTTGGGCTGGAACAGAAATGGGCATTGTAAACCACCTTCTCTTCTGTGGAATTAGCTTCCCACTCTGATGTGATTGTATTAGAAAGCAGGAAAATTAACTCTAGAGCAGGGTTTCAAACTGTTCCCAAGAAATCGACGTGTTACTGTGAGAGACTAAAAAAAGAGAGCAAAATCTCAAGTCAATTTTCTATCACTATAATGCTTTGTCTTTTGATCAGGGATCCCAAGATTTTTTTTAAAAAACTTAACATTTTTGGCAGCATGATAAACCCTGATGTAGACCATTAAATTAATGGCCTACTTGTTTGAATAGTGGGTAGCGGGCAGAAATCTGGTGTGTGATCATGGCTCATTTTAAGATACAGCTTAAATATCAGTGTTCCTTGCACTAAGGAATGTCTCCATTTGTATTTAGAACAAGGGAAAAATTGTCACTAATTGATTCTGGTAGACATTTCTACAGCAGGAAGAAGAGTCAATCTTATTACTTCTGATTCATTTTGCTTTTGAGTTACCTCACAAATGGATGAATGAATGCCACCAAAAGGTCCATTTGGACTTCTTTCCCTAGTAGTCTTTGCATGCTTGCACATATATAAGAGTTTTAGTAGCAATCACATCTTTAGTTTTATTTATTTAAAATGCATAAGACTGTCCAATCTACAACAACCTTAATTGGGTGCAATAAAAGAATAACCAGTAATACACAATATTATATTTGTGGTCTTGCCTCTTTTTATTTAAAAGGATAGAAAAACATTTAGGACTTACGGGATAGGTTTGGATAGAGATCTAAGCACAACACAAAGATTGGCGTGTTTGTTAATGGGATCATGTGTTAAATTGTAATGCCAATTATATCATTAATAAGATTTGGAATGAATTAAGGATTTGAACCTGGGATCTTCAACTTGACTCTATCACACAGGATTTATTTTTGTATAAATTGATGTTTATGTATATATTGTATACATACAATATATTTTGAAACAATTTTGTTTCATGCATTGCATGCTTGTTAAAAACATTCAGAAGTAGTAAGAGCACAGAGGTATGGTCAGTGCTTTCTCAAATACCAGTGAGTAACAACATTATTATTAGGTAAACAGCATCCTGAGCTTCTGGGAGGATGGATGAGTTAAAAATAAATAAATTTTAAAAAACAAAAAAAAATCATGCATAAATAGAGACAAAATTATATAAAGTGGTGGACAATTACTTCTTAACTAAATGTTAATAGAAAGTAATATTACCTGTTTTGTAATTGGGAGCAATTTTCTGAAGAAGTTCATCCAGAGCAAATCAATTGTTGAAGCAAAGTGCTTTTCTTTTATGTGTGCTTTTAGCATTGTTATGGGTGAGAAGATGTTTTTCTGGAAAATGGGAGTTTCGTGGCATTGAATAATTCAGTCAGAAAGGGCACGTTTTGCCTGTTCTGATATTAATCTTTCTTAACCATATTAAGCAAGCTCTCCATTCTATTAGATAAAAGTGTTGATTGTACAAAACGGATTATAAGAAATGTTTGTATTTGCTACATACAGGGCTATGGCTATGATGATGTTCCCTTCTTTTTCAACATTTTAAAGAAATGCAGATAAGAGATACTAGGAGAATGAGGGATACTTAACTTACCAGAATGATCTGGCATAGGAATTATAAGGTCCACTTAATGCCAGAGCAAAGAATCCATCTATTTTAATGGAAGTATTTGTTTTTACAGGATAGAAAGTAGATGTGTCACATGAAAATTTAGGGTGTAAATCAGCCAGGATGATACTGATTGCTGAACAGGGCATTGGATAACGACACTGCCATTTTAAAAGAAATCGTGGTTTTGAAAATAAGGCAATTTTCTGAATACAAGTGAGAATGCACTGTATATGTCAGTGGTGGCGAACCTATGGCACGGGTGCCAGAGGCGGCACTCAGAGCCCTCTCTGTGGGCACGCATGCTGTTGCCCCAGTCCTAGGCCTTCAGCTGGGTTTTATAAAACCTTTTTGCTTTAGGCCTCCGCCGCCATGTGCAAAAAAAAAAAAGGTTCAATCAGTCAATTTCAACTTCTCGCAGGAAAAAAAAAAGATCTTGCAAAGTTGGAATTGATTGATTGAACTTTTTAGTCCCACCCAGTCTGCCGTTATCACCGCAGCCACCCCCAGCCAATGGGCCACACCCAGCCAATGACCACACCCACCCGGCACTCGACGATGCATAAGTGGGTTTTGGATTGCAGTTTGGGCACTCAGTCTCTAAAAGGTTCACCATCACTGGCATATGATGGTGATTGGAAGGCAGGTTAAAAATGGAAGGATAGAAGGAAGGAAGAGAGGTAAATATATTTGTTTTACTACTTCAGTCATTGTGGATTTATTCATTATTTGCAATGATTTTGGTTCTATTTCAGGCAGGCAACGTAGTAACGGGAGAGATGGTGGAAGAACTTCTTCTGTCTGGAGCAGACATTATTAAAGTAGGAATTGGACCAGGTAAGCTGGGTAGAAGGATATGTGAATGAAGACAAATATGCGGGTCACAGGATAATGGTGCAGGGTATATGCAACATTGCTTACACATTTATGTCAGGAGTATTTTCTTTGCATCCTTACTACATATATACAGTAATGAATAAATAACAAAAGAACAAAAAAGTAGTCTGATTTGGCGTGTGAATGGACAAGTTGGCAGGCTGGTTTGCAATTATAAAAAGAGGTAGAGTGAAAAATGTTGCTGTAAACACTTTAATCACATTTCCTTATCTTATGCCTTTAATTCCTTTGGCTTACAGTTTCCATTTTTGTACTTTGTGTAACATTTCCCGCCAAAGGGAAATGATGAGTATTTACGTATTTTGCAACATCTGTGGGAAAAAAATGAGCAAAGCTGTCGTGACTTAGTCTGAGAAAATATACATCTTGATAATGATATGGAGAAAATAAAATCTAAATACCCTAAGTATTTGTGTCCTAGAATAGTTAGGCACGGAACTGACCCAAAAGGAAGTAGTATCCAAGATTTTTTTTTTTTTGAAGACACATTGTTGAAAGTGGCTACAAAGCCCTTAACGCAGAAGTATTTGGTTAATTGCCAAATGACAGATTTGACTTGAAAAGGGAAAACTATTCCAAAATTAGGGGATTGCTAAAAAAGAAGCTGAAAGACAAAGTCAGACTCAAACCTCTCCAGAGACATGCAAAATGCATTCAAAATCACAATACTAAAAGCTCATGTAACACATTGAATGAAAAGCAATCAAAATATGCCACTGAAATTTGGCTGTTTGCCATCAAAATTCAGTGATGTGAAGTTTGGATTTATGGGGGGGAGAGATCCCCCCCCCCGAGAGAAGCATGCTTTTGCGGGGAACCAATAATTGATGTCAGTGTTGATGTGGATTTCCTAGCCGAATGGAGGTTTGGATCTGTTGCCTCTAAGGCTCTCTGGTCCTGTTTCATGTAAAGAAAGGAGTAAAGAAGAGAAAAGGGATATTTACTGGTTCTATTGCTGTTATTTTTTAGTCTTTATGGATCCTATCAAATATTATTTTGGCTCTTGTGGATGTGTGTCCTTTCTTATAGTAAATAGCTCTCTCATTCTGTCTCATGCATATGATTTTATTATATGTCTGATATGTGAAAAGGCTTCCAGAGGGATTCAGCTATCTGAAGAGATCGGGGCTACTTTTCATCTAAATCACAAGATGCTGTGATGTCATATTTTGTCTGTTCTTCACGCCTAGGTTCTGTGTGCACTACTCGGATAAAAACCGGGGTTGGCTATCCTCAGCTCAGCGCAGTAATTGAATGTGCAGATTCCGCTCATGGACTGCAAGGACATATCATTTCTGTAAGTAGGATCTGTGTTGAATCCCATAAATGAAAAAAAAAAAAATGAATCCAGAAGCAAAGTCCCAATAAGTAGTAATTGAGGGAGATTTTTCTTGGATTTTCTTTTTAAAAATGAACTTTTCTATTTGTTATTTTATTTAATAACCTTAAAAGTCCATTTCCCGGATCAAAGACATGAATCTGCCCATGAAGGTTTTAGAAGTTTTCAAATATTTGTTCCTCTTATATTGTATTTAGAAAAAACTACAGGTAGTCATTGATTTGACAACCATTCGTTTAGTGACACTTTGAAGTTACAAAGACACTGAAAAAAAGTGACTCACACTTAGGATGGTTGCAGCATTCCCATGGTCATGGGATCAAAATTCAGGCGCTCGGCAACTGGCATGTATTTTTGACAGTTGCAATGTCCTGGGATCATGTGATCATCATTTGTAAGGTTCCCAGCTAGCTTCTGATAAGCAAAGTCAGTGGGGGAAGCCAGATTCATTTAACAACTGCATGATTTGCTTAATGCAGTAATTCACCTAAGCACTCTGGCAAAAAAGATTGTAAAATGGGGTGCAACTGTTGTGATTCCTCGCCAGCCAGTGGACCCGGCAGCTGAGTCTGAGGAATCAGAGGAGGAGGAGGGGCCTGGAGTGACATCAGAGTCAGAGGAAGGCTCTGAGGAACTCCAAGACTTACAGTCTGACGTGGAGCCTGGCCCCTCTACTCTCGTACTGTGCTGGGAGTCTGAGTTGGACAGTGGGATGACTCACAGCTGGGAGCTATCCAGGATGCACATAAACGCCGGCAAGAAAAGAGAGTAGGACAGAGGAATGCAATGGGGCAGCTCCAAAGGCAAAGGAGAAGCCATTAGGAAGCCAGCCTTGGCTGCATAATAAAAGGGAAGACATGGGAGGTGCTGGTTGCCAAAGGCAACCGTTCCTGTCGATCGAGTTTCTGTGAACTATGTTTGTTTGCCTTGGACATTAACTCAGGTCTGTGAATAATAAAAGGGGATTGTTTTTTTTCCTGCGGTTCCAGCCTGCTTGTTGGAAGAGGGGTTTCTCCTTGTGAGCTTAACAAGGACTCATGTAGGCTGGGACAGAACAGCAACTCACTTAACAACTGTCTTGCTTAGCAACAGGAATTTTGAACTCATAAGTTGAGGACTACCTGTACACTAATTACAATTGATTCTGGCATATAGAGAAAACCAGTAGCGCATCCTTGGTTTGTACCAGTTGCACCAACAAAGTGGTCTACAGAACAATCCCATGAAGAGTGCATTATTGTCCCTCTTCAGTGCATATGTTTAGTAACAAAATATTCACACTTCGTGCAAAGCGGGTTGAAGGAAAGGAGGATAGATAGGCACTCCCATCTCACCTATCTGTGAATGTTTTCAGTGTACTCTGCAATGTTTTATATCGGTTTTGTCATCAATTTTTTTTTTAAAGCTATGTATTTAATACCTTTCTGCCCATTTTGAAGGGTGGAATGGCATGCTTAAGTACATCCTTCATTTCCTAATTTGTACAGAGAAGTAAGAACATCAGACTTATAGAATACAACAAAATAAATCAAGAAAAACAGCTCACCAGTCAGTCCATGGATATTCTGGAAGTGCCCTTGAAAAGCGAGTACATTTTCAAAAAATACCAGGACATATAAAACTCTCCATCAGTGCCTGCCAGTCTCCTTTATTTTAGTGAGATTAAATGGGTAATGGTGGGCATCTTCAATTTCCTTTTTTTCTGGAAAAAAAATATCCATATCCACAATAGTAATGCTGATGACTGCTTGTGTGGACAAATATATCTCATTAATGACTGGAGTAAAATTATGCCTAAATCCTGTTTCCAGTACTCTTTAAGAAATCTGCATTCTAGTCTGCCAAATCCTTTGAAGTCAGATCAAATAGTAAATGGAATTTTAATCTGCATTTTTTTTTAAGGATTGTTTTCAAGTGAGTGTTGACTCCTGGCGCGCATGACTGGCCCAAGGGTCAGCCAGCTGGCTTTCAGGCCTGAGGCCTTAACCACTATGCTCTCATAATGTGCTTAATGCATTGAAATTAAACCTTTTACGAAAAAAAGGTTGATGTGGTCACTTTCTTGTTCTCATTTCTATAAATGCTTAGGCTGGATCCTTCTTCTAACCACCAGCTAAAATTGTCAGTGTGTTACAGTAACAAATGAAATTGAATGCACTGACTTCTTCTCTTTTCTCCATCCTTTATTCAGGATGGAGGATGCAGCTGTCCAGGAGATGTGGCCAAAGCTTTTGGTGAGTGCTGTCTGTTGCTGAAATATAGGAAATGCATTAAGATGAATTTACTACAGGAAGCCCTTGACTTACAACCATTTGTTTAGTGACAGTTTGATGTTACAATGGTACTGAAAAAAGTAATTTATGACCATTTTTCACACTTACAACTGTTGCGTAAGCATCCCCATGGTCACGTGATGAAAATTCAGATGCTTGGCAACTGGTTCATATTTATGACCATTGTAGTGTTCTGGGATCATGTGATCAGCTTTTGCGACTTTCCGGCAAGCAAAGTCAACGGAGAAGTCAGATTTACTTAACAACCAGGTTGCTAACTTTGCAGCTGCAACAATTCACTTAACAATCCGGGCAAGAAAAGCCATAAAATGGGGTGGAACTCGCTTAACAACTGTCTTGCTAAGCAACCGAAATTTTGGGTTGACTTGTGGTTGCAAGTCAAGGAGTACCTGTATACATAATACTGGAATTGAAAAGGAGATTGCAATGATTAATGCAACCCTGTATTTAAACACTATAAATGCTATTTTGTTTTGGCTTAGCCCCTCCTATTTTTCCTTTGTGCCACTCACAGGAGCGGGTGCTGATTTTGTGATGCTGGGGGGCATGTTTGCAGGACATGACCAAAGTGCTGGAGATATTGTAGAAAAAAATGGTAAAAAAGTGAAGCTTTTCTACGGAATGAGCTCTGACACTGCTATGAAGAAGCACGCAGGAGGTGTTGCAGATTACAGGTACCTCTCCCTTTCCAGCATAATATGCAAGGCCACTTCTTGAAACTCTGGTGTTGTTAACATGGTATTGGCAGCCAACAGAATTGCAGCCCTCTGCAGTGTGTGCTCCATGTGGGGCGGTAGCTGGTCCAGAATGCAGTGGGGTGGATAGTAATGCATGTTGCTGAATGCAGAATTTAGTAGACGCCCAAGTTCAAGATGCTGGTTATCATCTATCAGGTCTTGCACGGCACAGGAGCAGGTTACTTGCAGGACTGCCATTCTCCTGTTGCTTTTCCTCTCCCTGAGATCACTCAGCTTGGGCATGGTCCAAGTCCCTTCTTCGAAGCAAGATGACTTCAGGAAATGGGCCTTTTCTGTGCCTGAGCCTGTCTTTCGAAATATCCTTGAAAATTTGAGTGGCCCTGACTCCACTGGTTGTCCATACAGTTCTAAAGACCTGGTTTTTCTCCCATGCACTGGGCCAGGATGTTAGATGAGCTTGTTCTGTGACAAGAGCATGTCGCCAGACTTATATGTTGATTAGAGTTGATTTTGTTGCTTAACTATGTTTTTACAGAGTATTTATTCCCTTCTTTCCTTCTGAAAGGGTTGTCTTTACTAATCAAATCAAATAATAAAACAGACAAGATTTTATTGTTGGAGGAGGTTAAGATGATGGCCATTACATGATCAAAGTCCCGTCCCTTTTATATGTCTGGCATAAAAAAGGGGCGGAACTTCAACCATATGGTTGACTTGATTTATTTGCTACTACTCCCAGCATCACCCAGACATTGGCAGATGCCAAATGCTTGGCTAGTTGCAGAAGTGCAGTCACACTTAGCCACCAGTTGGAAGTTTACTGAGAAGGTCATCACGCCTTCTCCTGATATCTGAACATTTAGATTCTGACAACATGGAGTATGGTAGTCACAATCTAAAATAAAGTTGGAGTGATTTCATTGGGCTTAATGGTTCTAGAGTGGGCAGCTCCATAGGTAATAGTGGGGCAGGAGCACTTAAGTTCATGGCTACTCAAGACTGAGGTACTGTAGGACTTTCTCCTGTTATTTAAGATGTATAAGAAACCACTGGCAGGCATCTGTTGATTTGGGGCAAATTAACATTAACATTTGGGAGATATACGCATTTCCCTAATCAATTAATATGTAAATGATTCTTATAGTTGAACAATGAAACAGCATCTTCGAAGGGTTAAAATATGCTTACAAGTATATTGTGAGGATTTTCATAAGAAGCAAATGGGTGCTAATTCTCTTTGATTAACAATACCCTCATACAAACACACATACATATGCTATCTAGATGAATAGTAAGCACAGTGAAGAATGTCTTTGGTAACTTTCCAGATGGATTTATTTCAGATTGGAATACAAGCAAATATATCTTTGTTTGGATAAAAGAGGCACTGTTGGGAAATAGCAGTAGCATTTGGGCTTATATACCACCCCATGGTGATTTACAGTCCTCTCTCAGTGTACTGTACAATGTCAGCATATTGCTCCCAACAAACTATCAGCTTCGGAAGGATGAAAGGCTAAGTCAACCTTGAACCCCATCAGGACCGAACTCCAGACCGTGGGCAGAGTTTGCCTGCATTACTGCACTTTAACCACTGCATCACCATGGCTCCATATTTTAATAGTACGTTTTAATACTTTTAATAGCAGAATAGGTAGCCCACCAATGCAAGTGAAATTATTTTCCTTTTCAGAGCTTCAGAGGGCAAAACAGTGGAAGTACCCTACAGAGGAGATGTAGAAAATACCATCCGTGACATCCTGGGTGGTCTCCGTTCTGCTTGTACCTACGTGGGAGCTGCCAAACTCAAAGAGCTTAGTCGAAGGACAACTTTTATTCGGGTAACTCAGCAGCACAACACAACATATTCTTAGCCAAAGAAGAAAACCCCGGGCCTTTGGAGATGTGAAATTTGCTATGTTCTGTTTCTCCTCCACTTCTTTTATTTATTTTGCAGGATGGGGAGGTGATTATATTCCCAACTAGGAAAGAAGCAGGTTGCTTAATACCACTGATTGTTGTAGTAGTGGTTGGAGTCGGGCCTAGTGAGAACAAGCCATAAACCGCTTCTGGGTCCATGGTTATGGTTTTGTTCAGAATTGTTCAGTGGCATTCTTTTTATATCCTTGTCTATTTAAGTAAGAAATCTAGATCGATCTTTCAGAACAACCGATGAGAGGGACTTAGAGGTCCATTCATAAAGTATTTGTCCCTTGGATCTGCCATTACTAGAAAAAGCAAAGCTATTCGGGGTTTTATATTTAAAAGTTTCAACTGCTCCTGCAATGTGTGGTGAAAGTCAGAAGAACAGGAAAGCAACTCCGAAGCCCAGAAAAACCCTCACTGCATGGATACTGCTCCAGCATGCCACCTTGGAATAGCACTTACAGAATTAAAAAAAAAAAAGCTGTCTTATTTTCACAGAAGCATCAAGTGTTCAATTTTTAATGTGTGCTGATTATTATAAAGTTCTTAAAATGGTTGATCAAATAGTTACACTCCCTTTATTGTAGTGCAGTGTTTCTCAACCTTGCAAATTTTAAGGCATGTGGACTTCAACTCCCAGAATTCCACAGCCAGCAATGCTGGCTGTGGAATTCTGGGAGTTGAAGTCCACATGCCTTAAAATTGTCAAGGTTGAGAAACACTGCTGTTGTGCTTTGTTAGGGGATAGATTTCAACATTGCAAGTGGAGATGCTCCCTTGTTCATTCATCTCCGTTTTAAAGATGAAAGAGATAAGCTAATGATGATTAACTATTTTTTTCTCTCCAATGTCTTTGGGAAAAGGCAGAGAAGGTACTTGCAGTTCCACACCTGACCCTACTGTGCAGAGCATAGAGCTTGGGAAAAAAGACATGCTAAGTTAATAAATAGCAGAGACATGTTTTGGTTGTGCAAGATCTAGATCTCGTTTTCCATATCACTATTGTAATACGCACAACCAATTCATTATGTAACAATTGTTTCATAATTTTAGAAGGCAGTTTTTATGTGGAACTTGATAAATGATATGCAGAGGAGATCCACTGTAACACTCGTGAAGCTGCATATCTGCAATGTAGTTTTACTGCAAGTAAAGTTCCTTATTTTTTAAATTACCGTATAGTTTCTTACTATAGCATTGTTTTATTTTCAGAGTCCAAGTAAAATTTGAGTAATTGGTAATTAAAGAGTAAGGTATAAGTTTGTGACACCAGATTTGGAAGTTTTGAAATCTCTTTTCTGCCACCCAGTGGTTGTCTCAATTTTTGCAGCCCATATCTGGTAACTTGACAAGTTTACAGTGAAACAAACAACAAAACCAGTCACTGATTACTTCTAGACCAGGGGTAGGCAACCTTGGCTCTTTTATGACTCCTGGACTTCAATTCCCAGAATTCCTACTCAGGAATTCTGGGAATTGAAGTCCAGGAGTCATAAAAGAGCCAAGGTTGCCTACCCCTGGTCTAGACGAATGATACATAAAGCCATACTATAAATAACTTCTTTTCCTTTGGGTTGATTTATGTAGCATGTAGAAATATTTTTAAAATCCTTTACTTTTTTTCTACATTAGAATTGTAACGTCTGTCTATGTTGATTCCATCATTTATCTATGGTGTCTTTTTAGATACAGAAGCACCATACAAGAGAAATGAAAAGTATATTTACCTCCCAGGTAGCTAACCATCTTTCGGAGATATGATTACTGAATGGCATTTTAAAATCAGTTTTCCTGTTAAATGTGCCTACGTACTCCATTGTAGGTAGGCAGGTAGCCCTTTCCCCTACCAAAATCAAAACAAAAAACCAAACCCAGGAGTATCCATGCAAATAGAGGACGCAGTTTGCATGTCCCAAAATAACACAGATGCAGCTGCATCTGAAATGTCCAGATACATTTTAAAAACGCAACATGGAATTGTAATGACAGAAACGACAGCTCGCACTGGCACACAAGAATGAGAAGCTTGAGTTGGATACAAGGCAGTTCCAGGATACAAAACAAGACTCAGAAAGCCCTATTATGCTAAAATTAAAATTATCACATTGGCTATTTATTTATTTCCAGGCAAAATAAAAAATGGTGGTGACTACCTGTGAATTAGTAAGTGACTTAAGTCTAGGTTATCTAAGCAAATGTCTTGTCACTTTACAATCCTTCCATACGAAGATGAGCCCTGGAAACCCTGTATTTGCCACAGTTTTAAACAGATCCTGATTGTGAATCAAGCCTGGGATTAATGACATTGCTGACCTTGAGCAAGGCTTTGGAAACAGAACTTTTTTAGTCAGGCTATTTAATAGGGTCGACTCTAATTGTTATAATACATTATAAATTTGAGATCTTTTATAATTGTGGCTCTTAGATGCTCAGTAAATGACAGAAGAGGGTTAGCTGTAATAAACAATATTTGCCATAGGCCGGTTCTTAGCACCAGCCACAGATAGTCGGGTTCACATAGATCAGGGGTAGGCAACCTTGGCTCTTTTATGACTCGTGGACTTCAACTCCCAGAATTCCTGAGCCAGCATGGCTGGCTCAGGAATTCTGGGAGTTGAAGTCCACGAGTCATAAAAGAGCCAAGGTTGCCTACCCCTGACATAGATAGAAGGGTTATGTTGGTAGTTTAAGTGGGACATTTTTCCTCCTTGAACCATCTGGCCTCAGTTTCTGAGTACAGGAAATACAGAAACTGTCTGAAGTCACCATGGTGCTGAAAAAAGTGACTTTACAACTAGTCCTTGCGCTTAATGATGATTGCAGCATCCCCACGGCCACGTGACTGCCATTTGAAACCTTCCCAGTCAGCTTCTGACAAGCAAAGTCAATGGGGAAGCCAGCAATGGCTCACAAGTCAGGGTCATGTGACGTCTTGCTTAATGATCTTGGATATTTTGCTTCACTGCTGCAACTGAGACTGCTGGAATTGTTGTCATAAATTGGCGCGTTCAGGTTTCACTTAACAACCGTGACAGAATTGCTCATCCCAGTTAGGATCATTAAATGAGGACTACCTGTACTGGTGTTACCTGCACTACACGAAAGGAGATAACTGCAACCACTTCAGCTCAAACCTTGGAATTCTGAGTTTTGGGATTTATTTGCGATAAACGCCCTAAAAGCAATGGTCATTTTTTTTTTCTGACTTCCAAAGTTTTCTTCATGTTCAGCGTAACAGATTTTCACGATATAGCTTAAAAATGCTAGAGTCAAGCCACTGAATAAAATGCTTCCACGTCAACTATTTAATGTGATTTGTAAAGAGGGATAAATACAAAGCTAAAACTATGAAACTTTGCTAAGTATATTCAGAGCATAATATAAGCTGCACTGTTAAGTTACTTGGATAAGCTGGTAGCAGGAGGCAGACTTGACAGTGCAAATGAGTGCTTGTATATTATTTCAGAAAGTTCAGAAAATACGCATTTATTATGGATTTCTGCAGCTTGTGAACAAAACTTGTCAAAAGGTAAAATCCTCAGGAAAACATGTGAAAAAAAATTGCTCTTTCAAAGAGGAACTACTACCAACCTCTTATTTAAACACTACAAAGAACACTAATTTGCAATTGGCACTGTTATTTTATTAGTACGAGTATACTGAAACAATAAACTTGTACTGGTATACAGACAATTTCTTTAAAACAATTTTGTTCAAATTTTGAATCAAACATTGTTTTATTATTATAATGAAATAATTTCTACCTAGAAAACCTGCAAGCACCATCAAAGAAAGGGACCATAAAATTCAATAAACAGACGCGAGTGTATCCTACAAATAGACACACCACGATTAGAAAATAGAATATGAATTCTTCCATTTTTTTAATATTTGTTTTAAAAAAAGCTAGTGCAAGTACAATATTTTACACTGGAATTACAGAGAGTATGCACGCATATGGAAAAAGTTCTTGTCACAATAAAAGCTCTTACCTATGTCGGTATGCAATTTCTCTTTTCATTCTATAAGGTGCAAAACGTTCCCTCCCTATTTCTCCTTTGTACTGGCCATGTCAGCCCAATATGACCTCAGCATAAAGCTATGGTGCCCCTTTCTCTAGGCCAACATCTGGCAGGACATTGAAAGTGTATTTTGTAATCATTTAAAAGAAACGGACTATGTATTGATTTGGGAAACATTCATTGAAAGTTTGCTGGATGCTCAAACCACTGATAAAACGCTACCAAAAACTGCAAGTAGGCAACTGAAATTTGTCTATTCAACTTAATTATTTAAATGAAAGAGACAGAAAGGTGCTTTCTGATGTCATGCTTTATCTTAAAAACAGATTATTATTATTATTTTTTGCCCTAACAAAAAGACCAGTCAAAATAAAGCTGTACATCTTCACAGAGTCATGAGAGGCAAAAATCCTGAGATACAGTAAAAACATGAGGGAAATTATCAATCGGCTAAGAAAATGCTTAGCATATTTACACCCAACACTTTGAGGCATTTCAAGTACTTGAGGCCTATTCCCTGGGGTTAAATAGATGCAGAAAATTGGCAATTTGAATTTACTCAAACAATTATTGTTTAAAAAAAAATAAAAATGTAACTTCTACCACCAATCACAGAGCCTCAATGTACAGTATGTTACATTTGCATTTCTTTGGGCAGTAAATGGCTGCATTTACTGCATTCATTCTTTATCTCTGAACTGGAAAAGATTTGTAGTCTAAAATTAAACTGTAACTTCAGTTACAAAGAGATTAATTGTAAGAGGAAAAGTACACCGGTAATTTTCAGAAGACTCTCCTGGTGCCCCCCTTTTTTGGCTGGTATATCTATGTCTGCCACTGCTAGTTTTGAATACAGATTTAAAATTAAATAGAATACTTTTAAAGAGTGATGGTGTTTAATGTTGTCAAGAATTCATAAGCTGCCGTTGCATACAAAACTGTTGTCAAGGCAAGATCTTTGTAAATTGCAAATCCCTGTAATCTGGACTTTTATAATGTCACATTCCTGGCCACAATGAAGCTGACTTCCAGTAGACTTATTATAAGCAGTTCCAGCACCAGCAAGTTAAATCTATTGCAGAAGATACATCCAGTGCTGCCTATTGGTTGGCTGAAGAAAAGGGAACCAAAGCTTTGATCAAGTGAAAGTAAATGAACAAACAAAAGCAACTTTAATGAAGCCTCGGATCAATTTTCATGGAAGACTCAAGTCCTTTGCAATAACAGTGAGAATAAACTTAATTTTTGCAATCCCTATTATAGAAACACTAGTCATTCACTAAAAGTACTTCATTTGATTGGTATGAGAGGCCATCCCACTGCACCTGAAGGGTTCATATTAATACAGAAGTTATATCCCTTCTATATTGAATACCAGAATTGGAATCAAAAATTATTTCTAGAGACTGCATGGCACAAGGAGAGAAGGACTCAGAAAACAATCAGCCATCCCCCATCCCCTTCATTTTAAAGGCTTTCTTTTTGTAAGTACATTTTGGACCTCTTTCTCAGAAGTACTAGTTTT